TTTTTTTATATATTTTTGACACTATTTCATAAGCTCATTCTTTCCTGTATCGTATTTTCCTTTATTTGAAAGTTTGATCGATAACTGGCCATAACATAGTATTTCTTAGTAACCCAGCGGTCAACGAAATTCGGATGGAGAAAGATATTTCCTAAGAAAATCCCGTCATGGTCAGATAGGTAGTTGAGTGTGTTGTACACGAATAATAACATGTCTGCTCAATTTTCGAAACAACTGCGGAATTCCCAAGGTCTTTTGGGTCCAAATAGGGTTCACGGTTCCACTGTTTATCATTACATAGCTCGGCCCTATTTGATACTCCAATTCTGGAGCTTCATTTTTGATTTAAAGGCAGCGATTACGATAGATTCGAGAAGGGTTTGAAGGAGACGTGATGGTGCTCAATGGTACGCAGTGGCGAAAAAAGCGAGAAATCCGTCAAGAAAACGCAAAACGGGACCCCCTTTTTGGCCGTTGGTTTTCACTCATGAACAGGTAACAGCTCAGAAAGCGGACGTATGAACGAGTTCACCGCAACGCGTTTGGTGGCACCATGCCAAACCACGCTCCAATCGAGTTGCTCCAGTTGTGCCGCTGCTGGCAACGCAGCTCGTCCAAATCACCAACTAAACTAGTGGGCGGATCGCTTTTGGGGCGGAGTGCTTTCGAAGTCCTGCTCAGCAACCAGCGCACCTTTCGTCGTGAAAGCGCCACACCTCGCTTCCTTGGCAGCCAAGTAACTGCTTCGTGTGGTGCATATGCTTCCCCGATGCGCTTCCTCCTTATCGTAATCGCTGCCTTTAAGTTCAAGCGACTCACGCCGCTCTACGAATATTTCCAGAAAGTGCCCTTCTTCTGTCTAACAAGTTTGTAGCTTTTTACAATCCAAATGTTTTTACTTGGTAAAAGTTTAGAGCGGGCGGAAGTGGTGTAGTGGCAAGTGGCACGCGAGCGGTCCGGGGATCAAATCCTGGGTCGTGAGTCGCCCGGGCCAACCAAGCCTTCCATCCCTCCGGGGTCGGTTAATTGGTACCAGACTTGTCTGGGAGGATAAAAACACTGACTTGTACATCGGCTGGCCCCCGCAAGTCATTGTATAGGCCACATCGCATTCAAACGCCACTACGAATGTACAAATGGAAGTAGAATGCGTGCCGCATCCCAAAAAGGGATTGATCAACGGCAAATGCTTTATCCTTTATCCTTTAGAAGTTTAGAGTACAACATACTAAAACACGTTTCTCTCAGGTGTCACATGCCGGTGTACTGCAACTACTTCTGGTTCCAATGCGATAGCAATGAACATTGATGGGCACACTTGCAACGAGATAGTGATTCTTGCTGACGAATATTATCAAATATACGTTTTCTACGACTCCTGCATGCAGCCCATGGACAATGTCTCATGTAGAGAGAGGAGTTTTTGTGGGGAAGAGGTGTGCATCTGCAACGGGCTGGATGCAGGCTGGGATTCAAAGGAGCCGTTTCTGCTATACGAGGATGGCTGGTCAGTAAGAGTTTTCAGGAATTTCCTCACCACTTTTTACCAATCATTTCCACCTTTATATGAGTGATACCCGAAAATGGATGAGTAACGAGTGGGGAGCTAAGGCGTACCTGACCAGGGAGGTCATGCAAGAAATGCCCAGCTTTTTCGAAACAGTTTTTTGCATGATATAAAGGTGCGATCATGAACTGTTTTCATTTTCCTGAGCGACCCTGAATACCAAAAAAGGAGCGAAGAAAAATTTCTTAAGGAACTGCCGTTCTTAACTTTTTCACCAGTTTTTCAGCCAAAGTCTACGTATAAAGGTTGCTGATGGTCCTAATTACAGATATGACATAAGTTGTTTTCGTGAATATTAGGGAACGCCGTCACAAAATGCAAAAAAATTGTCACTGCTAGGACTCGAATCTCGGGCCACTATATCACGCAAAAATCCGTTTTCAGAAGACTGGGCATTTGCTGAAAGACCTTCCTCGTAATATTGGAATCAGGGTCGCCGAAACAACCGAACTACATTCCCCAAATAGGCCAGCAACTTGCTAACACATAGGTCCTGGGAGGCAAGAACACCGACTTTCGCATCGACTGGTCACGAAAAAGTCATTGCAATCCAATTGAGCATCCAATAGATACTGCAGGTTTACCGACAAGTCATGAATGCTGATTGTTGGGTAGGGTACTGTACGGTAGAACAACGGAAGCAAAAGGTGGTTCAATTCCCATCTGGAGTGACAGGTTTTATCCCATAACTCAGAATTTTTGGGACAAGTCATTAGTCCTTTTACCAATAGAGAAGCCATAAATGATAATTGTGCTTGATCTCCGACTGCAAGAGATATTTCAGAACGCGTTGCTTTGAAGCCTGAAGGTAATATAAATGTTTGTACTATTTGAGGCTCCCAAAATTTTTATTGCCAAACATGGGGCACAGTTTTTCCAAAAAGGAATGCCATCAGCGATTTTTTTGTATGGGGGGTTATTTCGATGCCTTGTGCTTCTTCTGGTTTCTATTTTTCCCTATTTTTGCCCCAAACAGATCGGCTGTGGTAAGTCCATATTGGCAGAGGCGGAGCAAGGCCACAAGAAGGTGCTAAACACCGAAATGCCGCCGCATCCAAGAACAAGCGCTTTTGGCACCCTTTTTGAGAACTCTTGGGTTCACTTTTGACATTATTTCTTATGGAGCATGAAATAGTACAAACATTGTAGAGATATTCTTAACTGCGTAGTAAACGAGATCCTTGCCGCGAGGACATTCTAACCCTCCAAATGTTCTTGAAGGGAGCTGTCTAATAAGCAAGGTTCGTAGCCGTTTTTTCTATTTAATTATGCGAGCATTTTTAGCTCCATTCCCCCTACAACTACTAGAGCGTTCAATACAACGACCGCAATGACGACTGAACTGACAACGACTTCTTTGTCGACTACTTCGCTTCACAGCACCGTTATGACCACTACGACGACAACAACGCGAAGCTCCTTCAAACCGACAACTACTACTTATTCGCTGACAACTACAACGCCAAGCTCCTTCAAACCGACAACTACTACTTATTCGCTGACAACTACAACGCCAAGCTCCTTCAAACCGACAACTACTACTTATTCGCTGACAACTACAACGCCAAGCTCCTTCAAACCGACAACTACTACTTATTCACTGACAACTACAACGCCATTAGACGACACATTAAAACACCTAAGTGAGGCAAGTTGAATAATTCCGGCCATCATTACTTGTGAATAGGTTTTCTAATCGAACTGTTGCGGCAAACTTCAGGAATACGTTTTTGCTCACGTTGCGAAGGTAATAGCATAGGCGTTTAGGCTACCATGCCTTTACATCCAATCGAGCAGCCTAATTTGAAATGAAGCCAAAATATCCAAGAAACTGAAGGAGCCACATTCAGGGTGCTTTAGACTCAAATGCAGACTCCACGATAAATTTTTCAAAAGAATCCCTTTGCAGCTTGTTTGCAGGCGCAGGAATAGTATCACTCTCACAGCGCCTTGCCTGAACGTGAAGGGCTCAGGCTTTTGGGCAGGACTTGGTGTTGCTTCTTCGTAGAAACCCACTGTCCAAAACTACTTTACCTTGGCGTAGAGGTATGGTATCCAAAGCCTACCTGACCTGTGTCGGCTTCTTCTTGGTGCATCTGCTACCCTCTCTCGTCCTCGGAGCTGTACTCTTACCTGTGCACCCAGTATCTCTTACCAGGAAAATGTTTCAGCCTCCCATGGAACCTCGAATTGAGAGGTAAATCGATAGAGCGCAGAATGCTGGTTGAAAATATAAAAAGCAAAACTGCTACGCGAACTTGCCTAGGAAACTGTGAGCGATCAAATTGGCTCTCAATGCAGAGGTGGTATAACGATATTTGACAAAAGTCTACTCACAAGGATTCTGATGCCCCCGATTACAAATATGGCAACATTCTTGGCGCAGGCGCAATTTGGCAGCATGGTCTTCACAGTTGTAACCATCATCCCAGGCTCCATCGATTAATCTAGGCCTCAATTCAAAGTTTCGTGGCAAGTTGAAATACTTCTTCCGACTTTAGACTTTTGACGTGTTGACTCTCCCAACGCACAAGAGGTTGGTATCCTCGGGACTTTCTTCTCCACTTCCTTCCTTGGCAGTCTACTTTGCCCTCCCTCCCTTCTTAGAGATTTATTGGTGGGCCACACAAAACTAAATGAGAGCTTTCCTCGTATTTTTCGCACCTTTGTGCTACAAAATGAGATATGTCCCTGGACAAGCTAGTGTCCAATGCTCACAAAAGACGGGAAAGTCACAAACTTATCAAAAACGTCATTATATGTATTGCGAAAAGAATTCGATGGAGCCTCTGGTAGCAAATATCGTGGAAGAAGCAGCTGTTGGATCATATGCAAAGCTCATTCGCCTTTGATTTGACTAATTTGAACCACTTCAGAGCGGTGTTGGACCGAACAATGTGTCAAGGATTCTCAACGAAACCCTGACGTTCTCTAAGGTTCGATCCAATCTCACGAGCACGCAAATCCAGCAAATAACCACTATACTGAATAACAGTGCGGCTATCAACGGCATACAACCTTCTGTGAGTACTTTTAGATGAAACTTAAAAAAATGGTGTGAAGGTTCTGAAGTTCTGTTCAAATTCCTTGTTAAAGGCAAACCCGGGATTAGCCCGACTAGTAGGAGGGATACCACGAGGGAAATTGTAAGGTCCGTACCTACCTAGATCACTCCAGCTTCGTCGCAAAATTGCGCGGTTAGGGCGCTAATCCTTACGGGCCTGCAACCATCGACCCCTTCCAACGCTTCCCACCCACCGCGAGAGGTGGTGAGATCAGCGTGCATTGATGTAGAGATCAGCGTGCTCTCTCAAACGACGTGCTCTCTCGCGTATTTTGTCTTCTTTGACCGCCCTGTCTCGCCATCGTACCACATCCGACCTTATTGAAGGTTAAGGCCTTAATTTCAGCGTTCCCAAAGATTCTCTTGCTTTCCTTCCCACTTTCAGGTCGTTCCGCAGCTAAGCTATCACCACGAAGCGCTAATAGCACCAGTTTAATCCCGGGGTTTGCCTTTGAAGCAGTGACGTCGCACTAGCAAAAGTCGGTATCATGCCCGCGTTCGTTAATTGGACTTTGTTGAAACCTGAAGTAAGTTTGGAAAGGAATCTTCGTTTGTCCCAGAGAAATCGAAAAATGTGGTGAACCCATACTTCAGAGCCACTTTGTATTCAATAAGGGCACGGTCCTGGAGTAGGCACGCTCACTTGTTCCTAGCCGGATCACGATGGAACGTGGGCAAGCGTAGACGCCGTACCCCTCTTGGCTTTGAAAGTGCGCGACAAAGGTGCTAGAAGTGCGCTCGATCCACAATCCACACCTTCGTTCGCAAGCCCCGCCTTACGGTGCTCGCGGCGCCATGCTAGCGTTGCGAGGAGATCGCGCCGCAGTTGGACAGTGCAGCCAATACTGGCACTGAAGCAACTGGAGCTAGCCATTCGAGAGAACCTCCAAGCACGCCCCTCCTCCATCCCATAGGGGTTTCGCTTTCTTTCTCTTTTTACCCACCACACCGCCAGCTTCATTATAAAGCGCTCTCACGCGAAATTTTTATCCTGGGGTTTGCCTATAATATCCTACTCGACTTCGATAATTCTTGCAAATATTCAAACCGTAAATATCAAAGGTCCCATTATCAATTTCATTCGCACTTTCAGGACTCAAAAAATGTATTGCTCAACATGGACTGCATTCTCTCAGCCGATCCCCAGCAAATACAAGCCAGTGGAAACAGCAGCCAAATGTAAGACTCTAGTGAAAGACAGTCCGATCAGCTTACAAGCCCTAGTAGAGGAAAGACAAAAAAATACAAAAATAGAAGAGCATACATTTTTTGATTCAGAAAAGATTTATTCGTAAGTTCGCCAGTGGTGGTGTCTACCACCGCTAATCCCGCGTGGGTTTGCAAGGAGAACGCAACTCCAATTGAATCATTTCGCGCAGTAGGTTCAGGAAAATTGGGAGTTTCGTTTATTTTTGGGACCCTCACCGGCAAGAAAGTTGTCTTCGCTGACTTCTTCACCCCTCACGTTCAACACCATAGGAGGTGAATTTAAGGGCCCGAGAACCTAGTGTTGGCTTCAATAGTTTCTCCATGAGGGTGCTTGCGGCCTTTCACAAATTACTTAGAATGGAATTTTTGAATTGGTTCGGCCCAATGAGAAATTGGCCCCTTCTTCGTCCAGCTCGAGGTTTTCTGGGATTTTTTTTTGTTTTCTGATTTGTTTTCATTACAACATATCTCTCCGAGTCAAGCAATGATTTGTATCTAGCGCTACCTTCCTTAGCCGGATTATACTATATTGTTTTGATTACGCTCTGTTGATGTGAATCCCTACAATTTTCTAGACTTCTCTCAATGCTGCCGACCTTGGTCACGAATACAAACGCTAGCCAGTTTGATTTTCTGACCGGAGAAAATCTCGGATTTACTGCACGGAATATCGACTGCTCATCGGCAACAGACGATGGTCTTATTGACTACGGCAACATTTTCGAGCTTTTCAACGGATCGATACCTGGTCGCGATCGTTACAATTCGATTTACATACCACTCAATGACATATGTAGTCAGCTACAAGGTGAGTTGTGTGCATGACGGATTGTTAGTATACTCAGAACTTCTGCATTACCTAACAGCAAGTTCGCAAGCATTAAAGTCACACCTGCTCGAGGAATATAGCAAGGAATCGTTGTTTGGGTATTTCAGCGTCTCAGCTCTTCATGACAGTGTATCGAAATCGCAAGCTGTTCACTGGTACAAAGCAATACCAATCATATGGTTCAGTTTCAACGATAGCCAAACGGAGTGCTGGACCCAGTGCTGAGACTGGTGTGCTTCAGAAAACAACTGCTCGTGATTTGTGATTCTTCTTTATTTGAAGCAGCAACAAATACTGTAATATCTCCAAACTTATTTTCTCTTTACATTTATCGTTAGAGCTTGAAGACAAGTACGCTAAATTAAAGGTGGGAAAGAAGAAATACTTATTTCGCTGAAAATCCAGTTTGGGGGAATGGCGCACTCTTGCTGCTTTATCCTTACCCCTAGTGCATCTCCTCGCGATTCACTCGACCACGTGGATGCTCAGGTCACGCCACGTTCTCACTTCTTAGAAATTTTGCGACCCCCTCTCTAACGGGGTCTCGATGCGACCCCCGATCACTGCCATCAGTCTCAAAAGGTTTTCCAATACGATCCCCTTTTCCCTTTTTCTGACCACCACTCTCACCATCATGGCTGTTCTCTACACTCCAATTCCAACACACTTTTTCTTCCAAAATCACCGTCGGGCGGGGAGGGGAACTTTCACCAAGCTCGCCAACCCCTCCAAACACAACCCCTTTATCGACCTCCGTCAACTCCCGTACCCACTATGATAACCTTACTCGACCCCATAATGCGACCCACTTCACCGAAATCACAAATGCGACCCCCTCGTTCGAACAGTGCAAACGGATGGTTGACCCTGGCTGGAGGTCTTCCATCCTTGGCAAAAGCAAAATTTCCATCTCCCTGATTCAAAACTGTTGTAGGCCACATTGTGAGCACCTCAGAATTACTTCCACTCCATAATTGTCAGAAATTCTTCAAATGAGTCAATTACATGTCATGAGCGCTCTCATTCCTATTTAGGGTTTTTGAGAAAAGCCTGTGAAGCCGCGGCGCTGAACCCTCTTCGCAGCTGTGCAGGCCCACCGATTGGCTATTTGAGCGCTCATACTCTAGCAACGAGCTCTAGCGTTTTGCAGAGAGGCAGAGCAGGGCGTTCACGTCGATGACATCAGCACCGATAAGACCTGACTAAACGAAAATCAATGGGGAAAAGAAGGTTCAGATATCGCAACCATGTTTATTTATTTCCTTGCACCCAAGAATGCAGGAAAATAAACAAATAAATATGCGGATATGCGAGCTCCCTTGTCCTTTCCTCTACAGCTGCCCCTCCATCGGCTCTATCTTAAAGCAATCGACTAAGTTTCAGTATGTGTAAAATCTGTCTGTGAGCGATACATTCCGGACAGCGTCAACGAGTACAAGCATGTAGCAGTAGCAGCTGGTTGCGTTATTCGTGAAGAAAGCAGAAACAGCCAACGAAAATAAGGCAGATCCAATAAATTAATCATAGAATGCTCCTTTAAGTTGAACACCATTTCTCTCGATTAGATGAGTTCACGTATTGGTGGTTTTCCCGAAAGTGAGCAGAAGGGAAGCTTTGTCTACTCACACGCGTTTGGTTAATTTGATTCGAATAGCGCAAGTATGAAAGCCTAACAAACCCGTGTAGGAGTTTTTATAAAGTTTCTCTTCATTATATAACACAATTTGGAGGTGCGTTTAATTGGTTATTTAGTTTGTTCGTCTGTTCGTCTGCAAAACGGAGTGAGTGATAAGGCAGTTAATAGATTAAACAGGCCGCTAACAAATCTGGGTAGTTCGCAGGGTTTGACCCATCATCAATGTTTGCAATGGCATTATTGTGATAACACCCCACGGCTATATCAACACCTGTATGTACTAGCACCTTTCGGTATTTCAACAAGGTGCTACGCGTGCGCAGTGGAGAAGAAGGGAGCAGGAGCTTAGGGAGAGGGGAGGATGCCGAAGTACGGGGGTACGGCAGTGCCAGCGGTACCATCTATTATAGTTATATTTGAAGCTGTTTTCAATGAAGTTCGATACTCTCTAAATCAATTTGCTACGGCTTAGGTGCCGTTCCATTAGAAAGCACCCGTTGAAGGTTTATTCTTATTATCTTATTGTTTATTGTCAAAAACTTCGCAAAAAAAAGAAATCGTTTTTAGTTAACATAAATTGTTAGCATAAAGGAATGCACAGATTGGTGCTTTTGATTGTTAACTGCTGTTTTTGGCCACAGTTCGCCTTGCGAATGTCCCAAAACCCAGCATTGTTGTGGCACAAATTAGTGTTTGTGAAAAACTACGTTTTTAATCAAAGACTATCAAAATGTGTGACATAATCCAAAATAATTAAAAATATTACAGTGCTTTTGTTCAAAAACACTAATCTTCCGAAAAAAATCGGTTTCAGAAGACACAGAACCACTACCATCACCATGTTCGCGTCAAATCGCTCTGCCAGAAGAAGCCCCTGTTATGACCGGGACCATACTTAACGATGGAGTGGTAAGTTTTCGAGGACTATTTGTGGCGGGGGTAGACAACACAGCAGATAGTCACAATAGGCATTGGACCTTCGTCAGGACCTGAATCTGCCTAGACTGGCCGAACTTTCTCATCTCAAGAAAGAAGTTGGTTCGTGATTATGTGAAAAAACAGGGGAGGGTTTTTTCAACGTGACTACCGTGGGTAGCGTTGATCAATTCCATTGTGTAGGCAACGTGTACCCGAATTCTATTAAGAGGCATTTGAGTTGAAGGATACGCTCCAGGATTAGGCGTGCTTACCTGTTCCATCCCGGGGTAGTAGAGAGGCGGACAAGTGTTGATGTCACGCCCTTTTTGCGGCTTGAAAGTGCGCGACAAAGGCGCAAGGAGCTCACACCTTCGTCCGCAAGCCCCACCCTCCGCTGTCGGTTGCCACGTGGCGCTGCTTGAAAAGCGCGGGCGCATTTGAGGCAGCGGTCCCATTGCGATCCAATGTTATTGGCACTGGAGCAACTAGAGTTAGGTTCGTGAAACTCGTCCAACGCGCCTCTTCTCTATCCCAAGGTGGAATGTGGCTGAAATAGGGGAGGTCTCTGTACGGGGCGTAATCGGTGGTTTCGTTTGCTTTCCTTCTCTTTTAACTTTGCACACCTATTCTATCCCGAAGCTTGCTTTTAATGACCACAACTCGCATCAACAGTCGACATTAAAATTACTCTCTCCTATCGGCTCGGCTCAACTAACAAAATCTGGGCAACAGCGGATGGGGAGGCTTAGCGCGTTGACGGGTTTGGGTTCCAGAATAAGAGCGCACAACTTTCTAGCCACTGCTTCACCTCTCTCCTTCTAATCTCTTTTAATTAATTGCTTGTTAATTTTGAATGCATTAAACAGGCAGTGACGCGATTAGCTACGGAGAGCACGGTCGCTGTGTTGAGATTCAACATAACTAATGTGAGTGGCTTTGAATTTCCTTTTTTGCTTTCCTTTTCTCCCTTTTTCTTTCGTGGGTTGAGCTATATCAAATCTCTTTCACTTTTGTGTTAAGGTCCTCACACCACTCCACGGTCACTTTCGGGTCACCTGGTGGGACACGGAAAAACTGGAGTGGTCCACAGAAAATCAATGTGAAACCACCACAGAAGGCGACACGATTGTTGCTAGATGCAAGCATCTGACGGATTTCACACTCATTGTTGTGAGTTCAGCCTGCGTTGACTTGTCAGAAAAGGCACTCAAAGATCACTGTGGGAACAAGCGCAGCCAAACATCCCAGAGTGTGCTGCCTAAGCCTCGATCTCAATGGCAGATGGTACGGTAAATTTGATGTGAGGTATGGAAGAGTCTGCTCATTGTAGAGGGAGGTTTGGTACCCGAGAGGCGCCACTCGCGGCGGAGGGCACACCCGTAAGCGGCCAACAAGACCTTGGCCGTCGAGAAAGCAGCCTTCGTACCTTCTCCCTCCTTCGAAAAGTTGCCTCTGTTGCTCGTCTTTTAATGTCGGTGGCAAGGTCAATCATATGTTGCGATAAATATTGGGTTGTCTCATAATTCCTGTCTCAATTTCGACACTTTTGTTTATTCAAGTTTTATCTCTTCTAGGGAAACAACTGATCAAATAGCATAACCACCATCATGGTCACTGATATGCGTGCATTTACTAGTGGCGTTTGGAAGCTTCCACCCCAGAATGAGAAGGAAACTGGAAGTTGAAGAATTTGGAGAGGTCGTTTTGGGGTGGTCGCAATCTTTAACTTTCTTCTCTGGCAGATGCTGGTTCAAGGCGCAGGGGAGGCGATAGTCCGATAGAGCAATGCCAACGCTTTATGGTGGATGAGGTATCGTGGCCCTGGCTATCTCCTCAGAACGTGGTGAGTTGGCTTTGCAATGTGAGGTCGGGCGTTCATTTGGAGAAAGGAGAATTTAAGACGTTTCAAACGATTCCCTCGCAATACGAAGCCAGCCTAGAGGGTGATTTCACGCTGGCTATAACAATGATTGTCTTCATACCTTGAAGTAAATCCAAAACCTGGCTACCCAGCGAATCCAATAAAACCGAGAGTGATATTCTCAGAAAACGGAGTTCGGGCTTTGGTTGAGCTGGTGCTTCCTGGCTGCGAGGCAGCCATAAGACGTGCCGCATGTTGTTGTCGCAGTGGACTCATGACTCATCTTCCACTGGTGACCGATTAGGGAAGGCTCTGCTTTTGCCGTCCCAGAATGGATTTTCCCCAGATGGTCAGGCGTGCTTCTCGCTCATGGTCGGCCGGACCATAAGGTTTCCATCAAAACTTCATTCTGCAGCAGTCCTTGCCATACTGATGGCGTGTGCTGGTGCATCGGCTGCGCTCAGGTATCTGCTACAATACCCTGGTAGCAACGTCCGGAGGCACTCCCAATTTAGGGTGCAAGGGGCGCTCATCAAAAATGACCGCAGGCCCAGTATGAGGTTGAAGTTCATAGCTCGTTTCGTCTTTGCCGTTGCGATTGGACCACTAGCTCAGTACCCTATCAGTAGCAGAGACTGAGTCAAACACAGCGCTGATCTCTCTGTTGTCCTCCTTGCTACAGAGTTCATTTGAGGATCGTAAAGCATAATCATTCATTATAGTCACTGACCTATTTTTATTCCTAGTTGATTAACCCGTTAAGGGCTTGCGCTTCCGAAACCACGCTGTTAAGGCTCTTGAAGCATACTTCAACATACTAACGTATTTCGCAATGAAACGGTCTTAGACGGAAGAAATTTGAAATTGAATAGAAATGAGACAGGAATTATGAGACAACCCAATACCAACGAAGGGATGGGCCGTATTTTGGGATGGGCCCCATTTTTTTGATTTTGAGTTTGTAGGTGGGGTTGGGGAGGGGTCGTGGTCGTATTCGATGTAATCTTGGAATTTATGGGTGAGTTTTAGGGCGCGTAGTGTGAAGGAGCGGGAAAAATTTTGCCGTTTCACTGTACGTATAACCCGGAAAAGGAGGTGAAGTTGGATGTGCTGATTGGTCTCAGAATTAAATACTGTAGAAACAGCGACCATGATGGCGAGGGTGGTGAAGGGGGGGGGGGGGTGAAATTTTTGATTGGAAGGAGGGGAGTCGTAAAAATCTTCGGAAAAGTCGCAACGGTAGGACCGACCCTGGTCGCTGGTCCATCACTTTTGGCTAGGAGGCAGGACGAAGCGATTACCCTGATAAATGATCCATCGGGTTCTTGTGTGAGTGGGAGCTTTAACACTTGCGATTACCTAACAAGTTGTGTTTGTCATTAGCTCGAACTGATCAGCAGAAGAAGGTCGGAGATGATTCTGCTCTGAACAAAACCTATAGACTACGGTACTATGTACTACATGGACCCTGCAGAACAGTGTGGGGCGTCCAAAACAAACACGGCTATCTAGAAAAATCTGGTAAAAATCAACAAGCCTGAAGAGAATTATCAGTTCCACTCATTTACAGGACGCCGCTTTAAATGATCCGAACGTCTGCGAAACAGCACTCATAGATCTGGGTTATGTTGTAAATTCTCTCTCAATTATTTCGCTGGCATTTCTGATGCTCATGAGCCTGTGCGCTTAGTAAGTTGAACAATTTACATTAATCCTCACTTTTGGCTGTAGATTGTACTTTTCAGCTGGCCAAGCCTGCGTTCGAGCCGTGCACTCGGTATACTGACGGGATACGCTATACCGACCCGAGACTTCGTCAGCCTGACACACAAGCTCAGCTTGCTATTGTTTTACGTAGTGTTCACGATATTCTCCGACAAAAAAGTCTCGGGCGAAGCCTGCGAATTTTTTGGAGCTCTATCTTATTGGCTGCTGTTATGGTAACTTTTAGTATAATCTAAAGCTTTACTCA